GGAGGAGATATTTTTGCTTATAAAATGTAGAGACTTTGTTCATCATATAATGCTTACATGATGAAATACTAAAAGAGGAATTTTTTAAAGAAAGCCCACCTCATAAAGGAATGAAATCCCAATAGCTCTTTTTTATGGAAATTAAAATATTACCAGTTGCAAACCAAATGCAATGGGCATAGTTACTGGCAAATTGTTGGGTTTACAGTGATGAAATACACAAGACCATACTCTCATGAGTTACTTTTTGAGTTAGCTAACAAGCTTCATAAAGAAAAAAAAAAAAGGTGGAAGTACGATGAACTCCATGAATCTGTGACTTAAACACAACAGGTATATTTTAAAAGTTTGTTGAGGGTGAGACCTAAAAGGAAAGCCAACTGACCATGAATCCATGTTTTAAACAAGACACCTAACTTGAAGACTTGGGGATATTATCCAACTTCTCCAACATGGAATTTCAGAGACAGAATTTAAATTCAACAATGAAGCATAATTTACTGCTCAATCTGCCTAACTTCTCTTAAAGAACCAAAGTTGGGAAACCATCAAGAGGAAAATTAGTACATGACTAAGACCCAAACTGAAGGCTCCCCCTCTCATCTCAAATCTCTAGAAATTAGGTTCATTTTTTTAAAAATCCAGAACCACGTTGGAAAATCAGAAGGTATAACTGTTGGTGGATAAGAACAATGAGAAACACCTGAACAAGAGAAAGTGGGGAAATTAAATGAAAGAAAAACAGCACAGTTCCCAACAGACACATGAGTATGTGACACACAAAACAGGGAAGCTGCTGGGCCGACCTGAGACTAGGGGTGGACGGCAGGGCAGGATGGGGCCTCCCCTCCACTAAGCCACAGGGTCACTGGTTAAGAAAACAAGTAGAAGCACAGAGGAATAAACTTTCCACATCCTACCTTTGCCCTCCCACCTCAGGCACAGCATCCAACAACTGCTGCAGCTGCCCCCAAGTAGAAGCAATGAGTGCGGGAAGTTTACAGGAGAAAGTCAGTCATGCTAGGTACCCTAGAGATATGGTGAACGCCAGTATGGAAAAGTGTATTTCAGTCATTAAAAAAAATAAGTCACTAGAGATTTCAGAAATTAAAAATCAATTGGCAGAAGGGAAAATTCAGTAGCTGGAGGAATAGCTGAAGGGCAAAGTAGTGAGTAAACAATTCTCCCATCATGCAGCACAAAAGGGCAAGCAGATGGAAAGTATTACAGGAAGGGTGAGAGGTATGGAGAGAGGAGCCAGAAGTGTAAATAACCATCTAAATAAATTATAAAATTCTTCCAGAACTGAAGATGTGAACACTCATATTGAAAAGGTTCACTGCATGTCAAACAAAATAAAATTTTAAGCATGCACACATGCCTAGTTACAGTGTAGTAAAATTTAAGAATAACATGGATAAGAAGCAAATCCTAAAAGCTTCTAGGGAAAAAGAAAAGCATAGGTTACCTATCAAGAAATAAGCATCAGACTGGCCTCGAGCTTCTCATCAGCAACAATGAACACACAGAGAATGTGGTATAATATCTGCAAAATTCTAAGAGGAAGTTATCTGGAGTCTAGAATTTTACACTCAGCCAATTCCAATGAGAAGAAAAAATACAGGCTGATTTCGCACTGGGCAAGAACGTGAATTTTATTTTTTTAATTTCTCTGAAAGAAACATTAGAAGATATACTCCAGCAAAAAGAAAAACCACTCCAAGAGGAAGTAGTGGAATACAAAAATCAACGATATACAAAGAAACAGTAAATCCTCAAAAACATCAAGTAACAGTCTAAAAATAAAATCTCATTACTTGAATTAGCTCTATGTGTATTAAATAAATTTAATTAATTAATTTAAAAAAGTAAATAAATAAAAAATAATATCTCAGATGATAACAATCAGAGAAGGGAGGAGAAAGTAAAGGGAAGTAAAAGTATCTTTTCTCATCTTGTTGGGGGTTCTTTCTAGATACTTACAGAAAATATGTTTAAATATGTGTGGTAAATATTTTGGCACTGGGCTTCCCTGGTGGCACAGTGGTTGAGAATCTGCCTGCTAATGCAGGGGACACGGGTTCGAGCCCTGGTCTGGGAGGATCCCACATGCTGCAGAGCAACTAGGCCCGTGAGCCACAACTACTGAGCCTGTGCGTCTGGAGCCTGTGCTCCGCAATGAGAGGCCGCGATTGTGAGAGGCCCGTGCACTGCGATGAAGAGTGGCCCCCGCTTGCCACAACTAGAGATAGCCCTCGCACAGAAACGAAGACCCAACACAGCAAAAATAAATAAAAATAAAATTAATAAACTCCTACCCCCAACATCTTCTTAAAAAAAAATATTTTGGCACTGTATATTTATAAACAGAGAAACATAATTTATAACTTTCGAACAATTAAGAAAAAATAAAACAAAGAACACTGTCAGTGGAAGAAAAGGAAGGAAAAGGAATAACCTTGTAGAAAAATAGACAAAAGGTATAAATAGGCAATTCAATGAAGAATAATCACAATGTCTAATAAACATAGAAGATACTCAATAGCAACCAGGAAAATGCAAACTAAAAAGCAATGACATACCATGTTTTAGAGATACAAAAAATAAGAAGTTTGCTAATATCAAGGTATACTTTGCTGGGGTGGCTATAAATTGGTACAACCACTTTTTAATGTGCAAACCATATGAACCAAAAATTCGGCTTCCCGCTATGTACTCTAGAAAAAACTTTGCATCTGTATGTATGTACAAAGATCATGTATAAGGAGGCTGGTTGAAACACTTTTGTAGTAAAATGGGAAATGCCCATCAATATGGAAGATTTAACATAATCAAGATATATTCTACCATGAATAACACACAATGATTAAAAAGATATGATAGATCGATGGCTTCTGACCTGAAATGGTCACAAACAAGTAAAGATAAGCTTTATGTGTAAATGTAGGAAATTATTTTTGCAACAAAATGTATCAATAGTATATGTGCAATTATAAATAAGTAAAAAACACTGGGAAAGAAAATAAAAATTAGCAGAGAAAGAACAAGACAGTTTAAGAACACAAAAAAATAAGTCTATCAGTTCACCTTTTCTAATGTTGCTTTCTGAAAAGCATTGCTGACCCTGAAATTACCATAAATGTAATCATTCAATCCTAATCAATCAAACACATGCCCTCTGACAGTGGATTCAAAGCCTCACTCTCATACACACAATTCATTGACAAATTCGTAGGAAACAAATTTTAAAACACTGAAAATTGACAAACTGGTCAGGAAAAATTAGAACCAGTTCACTCCTACCCCTCCCCTGCTCCAGTCACAGCGGTCTATCAACAGCACATTAGGTGGGTACATTATAGGAATGCTGTCAAGACAATACGGCCAAAAATTAAAATTAAAAAAAGAGAATTGGTTTCAGGCAAGGGCAAAGCAGACGTTTATTAAGAGGCCTTTTGTGAAATCAGAGCAGGAGTCAGATGCTTTCTCTTTTTTCCTCTCAGTGGTTGCTGAAACAATGTGGCCACACAGCCATGGGGATCTGGGAGCTGGCCAAGCAGCCAGGTGACTCAACATTGAATTTCTTATCCCTCTGGGCAATTTCTCTCAGCGGTACAAATTTATACCAGAACAGAGAACAGTTATCCTCTTATCAATCAGGAAAAGATAGATATTAAAAAATTTTTTTAATATTGGCTAATAATGAAAGTCGAGGGAAGCTGACAAGGGAACAAAGCTTAATTCCCCCATTATGAAACCAAAGGGCTCTCGTTACAACAAAAATCTGTGGGAAGAGTAACTGCTATCTTCTAAGACCCTGCAGGGGAAGAAACAAATACTTATCGTTCCTTTATTACACTCTCATTAAAAATGAGCAGCAGCTAGGGGGGTTTCCCTGGTGGCGCAGTGGTTGAGAGTCCGCCTGCCGATGCAGGGGACACGGGTTCGTGCCCCGGTCCAGGAGGATCCCACATGCCGCAGAGCGTCTGGGCCCGTGAGCCATGGCCACTGAGCCTGCGCGTCCGGAGCCTGTGCTCCAAAATGGGAGAGGCCACAACAGTGAGAGGCCCGCGTACCGCAAAAAAAACAGCTATATTTTCCTTAAATAAAAATTGACTCCAATCAACAGGATCCTCTGAAAACAAAGACCTGGAAGTTTAGGGTTGATATACAGATTCCTCTCCGGCAAGAACCAGGTGCTATGTGGCTTTCTGCTGTGTCACCAGCCACTAGGCGAGAAGATCACATTTAATTGTTAACTGATTAACTGGTTGACTGATTAAAATTTCAACTCAGGAATAATATGCATATGTGGGTACTGCAGAGGCATGTCCCAAGAGCCCTTAGCAGTAAAATCCTAACCAGAACACTTGGATTTTCCCTTCTTGTAAACACACTGGCATTCACAGAGCTGTAATTTTATCATATGATGCCCTTTTAAATTCTGGAGACTGTAAACCCAGAAATGGGGGAAAGCAAGTCAAAGGGCAGATTTGTGGTGCCCCATCAAGATACACTGACATCCGGCGACAAGACAAGTGTAAGGGAATGTTCTGGATTCAAGACAAGTGTAAGGGAATGTTCTTGTGCTGCCAGGACACTTTATCCCCCCGAGATCCTTCCTCTGCGTGGCCTACGTGCCAACCAAGTATATCTGTGGCCCGTGAAGTACCACACCCTCAGCCAATAGTTTTTGGATGGATAGTTGGATGGATGAACAAACGAACAAAGAAACAAAGGAATAAACAGCATATTTTTTTCTCTGGGCACTTTAAAGTCAACCATTCAGAATTAATATTCTACTGGCAAAGAACCCTCAGCAAAGTTGCTCCCAGCTGATTTCTCTACACTCTGCACGCGAAAGTGGCCCAACTCAGTGGAGACATCAACAGCATACGTATAAAATCCAGGTAGTGGTAAACTTCCCAGACTCTCTACCACACCAAGGCAATCAGAATAATCAATAGCAAGTAGAACTTATTGATTTAAAAGTAAATTACCACAATGGGATATCTGCAGGTTTGCCAGGGAAATATTCTTGCTGTTTTCATCGAGGCAGTACAAGTCCTGAGTTTCTGGACTGGGTTTGGTCTCCTGAAGAGTCTTAATCCACATAATGTCGCAGGAGCATGTAAAGGGGTTGCCCACCAGGATCCTACATGGAACAAAAATGAAATCCAATCAGCCTTCTCTTTTTCAGTTTTAGCTACAGAAGTGTTTATGAAGCACTAACAGCATTATGAATTTCTTCTAGCCGGCTATCTTTGGAAGTCACACCCATCTTTATAGCATAACAGTACTTATTATTCATTCATTTACCTGATACTTACTGATCTTCTGCTATGTACAAACACCCCTGTAGAGGCTAAAGGATGCAAAGTGATGTGAGACCTTTCGGACCCATAGGGAAACACGGTAGGAACAGAAATAACTATAATATAGGATAGAAAAAGATGTCTCATAAGATGGGGGAAAATAAGATACCGTAACAAATTTATCACAGATATTATACAGTTATGAAGATCTTAAGTGAAGAAGCCAGCGTTAAGTTTTCGGGAGCACTAACATACTTATTTCTAACCAGGCTAGAGATTCAAGTGTTATCACTTAATAAGTTCGAACTTCAGTAGAGGGCAGAGCAATTTCATCTGAATTGAAAACAAGACTGTGAATACAAGGCTAAGACTAAAGTGTGAGAGCCAGGAGGGTGCACTCCCAGCTTTCCGAATGACGCAACCACAGTTCAGTTTGACTGATGCAAGAAAGCTGGAGTGAATGTGAGAGACAGAACCTGGAAGGGAGCTCATAGACCTCCTTCACACACACACACACACACACACACACACACACACACCACACCACACACACACGCCAAGCTCAGGGTTTCTGAGAGCAAGTGCAACCGAGGTCCAGAGTGAGCCACTTAGCCCATTGTGGGAGGGTCTGCAAAGAGAAAGTCACTATTCAGCCATGCTGCCTGGACTCCTGTGGCCTGTGATTGGTCAAGGCGGAAGTAGTCAAGAGGAAAATAAAAACCACAAGAAAAAATAATCTTTAAATGCTTATCTATAACACTCAGTGGCCTGTTTAAAATGACTTCCATTTATGGCAATGAGCCTTTAAATGAGGCCATTTAAAATCATTACATAGGCTCTGCCTGGCATTAACCACAATACTTAAGATTTCCGTGAGGACAGGACCTGGGCTTTGCAACATCATTTACTCCTGTGGTTTTCTGGTTGGGTTCTAACAATCTCAGGGAATCCCTGGAGACTTTTCCAGGAGTTTCCTTGGAGAAAATGTGGTCCTGGCAGACTCGTTTAATTTGTGTCTGCTTGATTGCCTCCAAATATCCCTCCAACACCAAAATAAGAGTTGAGACTACTAGGTATGGAATATAATGCAGATGATATCCACAATGTTTAAACCCCAACTAATCCAAGAGGTTTCCTGGTGTTCTGAGTCCATGAAAAACTAAGAAATCTTTTTTAAAAGCAGGTATAACTGAATCCACAGAAGAGATCAAGAAGCGAAGGGATCTTGAGCTACAAAGACAGCAACATTCGCCTGACCACACGGCACAGGCAGACAGCTGGCTTCTTCCTCTCACACACTGTACAAACTCCTTTTGCAGCGATTGTTAGAGCATGCTATACTTAATTTGTTCAGGCTTCTACCGCTCCCCCTGGATAGCAGAGTCCTGGAGTACAGATACCGTTCTCCTTATATCCCTATGGCCTAGTGCCATGTTAGTTTGATTTGCAACAGGTACACAATTAACATTTGTTGAATGAATTAATTAAATATGCTGCAGGGGTGGTATTGAGACATGTGAATTTGAAATCAGAACTCTAATTTTTAACCCATGAAGAAAATTCTCTGCAATGATGCTCAAAATGTTTACACTGAGTAGCCTACTTTATTGCACATAACTTCCTTAAGTTTTTTATGCGTATCCCTGTGGTAGAAAGCCAGCGCTTCAACTCCCTGAATTAAGTCTCTCCCAAAAGAGTTGCCACCATGTAACTCTAATGACTACCTATTAACTTGTTATCGCACTACTAGTGGCATCTTCTAATCTGCACGATTTCCTTGTGAATAGGGGTGGACCCTACAACTCAGGCAACAGATAGTTTTAGCAAAAGCTATTGCCTGGTATTCAAAGGCCTTGTCCATCTGGGCCCACCTCTGACACACAGAGCCTGTGCTTTAAGGTTCTTTGGGTACCTGACCCATAGGAATGTCAACAGTTTTTATTTGCTTCACAGTGATAACACAAGAATTAAGCACACTTGGAAATGCTGGCTATTAGTAATCGATACATTTCAATATCTTCCCTATCATTTTTCAGCAAAGGGGATTTGGGGATAAGGATAAATCCTGAATGCAGTGGCAGACCTAGAAGGAAATCTCACAAGGATAGGGGTAGGGATAGGACCGCCTCTCCTCGAGTGTACACTAAGGGAAGCGCAGGCACTGTCGTCGGGGTATAAACTGAGGAGTTTTGCCCATTGCTGTTTCTCCTTGAATGGGTTTGCTTTCCATTAGGGCCTGGACAGAACAAGGACCAAACAGATGCTATGAGACATGTTGCCGCCTTTTTCACACAAAACCCTCATCTTCTTCTCATTTTCCCTCCTATAGAAAACAAGTCTTTTATGTAAAAACAACATTTAAACTCATTATAAATGATATATTACTACTGAGATTTCTTTTCTTTTTTTTTTTTTTTACTGCTGAATCATGTTTTCATGGAGGAATAAAAGAACAAATGACCAAAATTTAAGAAATCATTTTTCATGAATTTTGATATAAAAATAGACCTGCAGCATCACTTATTTTAAAAAATATGTGATTACACTTTCCTTTGGAAATTTTTTCCCCAAATGCCATACAAAATCATTACTTACAGCTCAGACAAGTCAAGGTGACGAAAATGTTTCCTAGACAATACCGTCAGTTTATTTCTGGTAAAATTGCTGAAAGGAATCACAAACGTTAAATGTGAATTACAAATATACACTTCAGGAATAAAGTATTCAAATAGAGGTTTTTTTCAAAATATAATTTTATGTGATCATGGTTCATGCCGTACTTTAGATCCAGTAATCTCTTTCTTTCACCTAGAGTAATAACTTAGTTTTCCTGCCTCTCCTATAATTCTTGCTTGAGAGTGGGGTTGAGGGGGCATAATTTTCGTAATGGTTATTTTGAATCTCTTTTTTACCCAAAGTTTTCTTTTTCATATTCAGAGCCAAGTTATATACCTCCTAGAGATATCTGATCTTCTGAACAATTAATAGGGAAATTAAATTAAACTAAATTAAATTTAAACCATAAACTCACTAGGGGAAAAGATACTTTAAAACTAAAAAGCATCATGAATATTTTGAAATTACACGACACACAACACTCTGAATATTAACTGAATTTAACACATCCTAACAGGAAAGATCACACCTATTGATTGATAAACTCTGCTGAGATTGCTTATATATGACTTCCAAATAACTAGATAAATTCATGATGAGAATAACAACAAAATATCAGATAAAAATATGTCAAATTTTATCTGGAAATATTCTAGCAACATATCATTTTAAGATGTGGACCAACCAGACAATGAAAAGATGTCCTATTTGTGACTGAAAAATAATAATGAATTTACTGATGTGTTCCAAATATGTAGTTTTATTCAAGGGAATGGGAGTTTCGGTTTCCAATGATCAGTGCCATGAGACCTTGAGCTGGGAAATTCAGACCCTTAATCCTGGCAGCTGACTCGCTCTGTGAATTTGTTTACTGGTCGAATTTATTTAAAGCATGTGCAATGCTTGGTCCTCTAGACATGTGTTTCATGAGTCACATGAATGTAAAACAAACATCAAATTTTACAAAACAGCTGAGCCCTCAACAGTTTGCCATGAGCCTTTCAGTATCTGATTCCCATTCAGGAAGGTGAGCACCGGTCTGAGAGTCAGGCAAATATGGGAAATCTGCGGTGACAGCAATCCTGGCCTCACTGAGGCTAGTCTATTGCATCTGTCTCACCTGAAGTCTGCTGGTCTGTCTGGCCAGTCTCTTTCACAGAGGGGTTAAAGACCAGGGGGAGCTAATACATGAACTAAGACTAGTCAGCTGATGGATAAAGAAAATGCCACTTTAGCATCTCATCAATCAAGAAGGCACACGGCCACTCCCAGCTTAATTCTATATTGAGATTTCCTCTCATCCAAACCCCCATCTACAAGAGGGTGCCCTCTTCCTTCTACGCTGGCATCTTCTCTCCTCACACTGAGTGTAAAGTGCTCACCCACGTGAAAACATAATCCAGCAGGAAGTTGTAAAATGTGCCCACATAAATCTTTTCTTTTGGAACGTGAATTAAGAATGGGTTTCACTGCAGTATAATACACTGACAAGTCACTTTGCCTGTCTTCACCAGAGCCTGTGAGGCACAAATGTTTTCATCTCCATCAGAAATCCCCATCCTTCTGAAGGAAAAAAAACAGAAACAGAAACAAAAACCCTATTCTTCCTCCCAAGAAGAAAGAGGAGCGAGGAGGCAAAGAAAGAGGACACACTCATTGTCAAGGTTCCGGGTCGGCTAGCAAGGCCGGCACCGGGGCAGCTGCCCTGTCAGGCTGCTAGCAGCACAGCCCAGAGCAGGGTTACACGCCAAAGAACAAGATGAGTTTATGAACCATACTTATTATTGGGTCCAAAAGCCAAATGGGAGGAGGAGGGAAGGAAAAAAAATCAACAATCCTCTTACTGTTTGATTATAGAACTTTTGCAAAGGAGCTAATTAGCACCTCTGCAAAGTCCCTGGAAAACACAAATACTGGCTTTTCTCACAGTTTCTGGGTTCTCAGGGGCCGGGCAGGAATTAAAGGCACCAAGAAATAAACTCAGGGACCAGTCCTAGGGGCTCCGGGCAGTCAGCATGGGATGCTAAATATGCACAGGTTAGGGGAGGAATGATGAAAGTGACAGACAGGATCTAGTTTGAATTCCCCTAAAACCCAAAGTGAAATAGATGCTCTTGTGTACATTTTTATTTTATTGGAGAAACTCAGAGAGATAATCATTATATCCCAAGGGTACAGAGAAACAGCCTCTCATACACATTTCTTTATCAGCTCCCTTGCAGCCATGGTGCTGATGTTCAACTAAGGATGCCGTTTACTACGTGCGGAAATCAGGGAGAACATGCCAGCGCCTTCAGTCATAAGCAGAAGTTGAGACCCAGGTCTGGAAAGGCAGACAACTGACTTAATTTCCTTCTCCTTGCCATTCCCTAGAGCCAACTGCTTAATTTAATTTCTATTTTGGCGATTAGAAGGCTCTTTCATCACGTGAATATCTGAAGCTTACTGACATTGTAACTTCTTTCTAACTGTCTGAATATTATTCCGACTTCGTACTGCCTTACCATTTGACAATGGCTACAAATATCAGTACTTTTTGCGGTTTGATCAGTAACTGGGCTTCCCAACTGTTGGCTGTATAAGATATGTCCATCTCCTTGGTTTCCTATTTTCAAATGACTCCTCTTTGGGAGACTGGGACTAATATTTGGCTTTATGTAAGTATGTACAGCACACAGAATACCATTAAAATTATTCTACTGTAAATCAGCCTGAAAAAAACACAAAAGGTGGCTTTTGTTTTCATATAAGTAACTTGGAACAAGGAAAGTAGGGAAAATATAAGAGGCATAGCAAAGTCATAAAAAGGTCTATTTCTAAAACAATTAACCATAGCCCACTATATAGATCACTACGTTAGGGGAAGTGATATAGTAAAACAACCAGTAAAACGTGGTCGTTGAGTAATTCAGGTGTGCAGTCAGCAGTAATGAAAATACCAGAACGTAACCACTGAGGTCATTAATTACACTTAAGTGATTGCATTAGAGCATTTTGCCTTTTTCATATGTCCAACTTCTCTCTTGTTTATGCTAGCAAGGCCTACGCAAGACATCAGAATTTGTGCAGGCAAACCAACTACGGAGAGGTTGCCAAAAAGCCTCTGCATGAAATGTGTTAATAAAGTTCCTTGGAGTTTTGTCACCATTTTGCCAAAAGTTTTATATCTTAATTCTACTGACTTTATTTTTAAATTGACTTCCTCATTAATGCCACCTATGAAATATGAAGTCATTGTACTGGCTTGATGAAATTAAGGTTTTTCATAAGATCAACAAATCTCCATAGAGTGTCCAGGCAATCTGCTCGAAGAGAACGATTTCTTTTACAAACTGGCCTGGAAATCAGTCAGGGAACAGTCCTCCCCAAGAAAAAGAAAGAGGACAAATGTTACAGGAAGGGCTGATTCTCTCATTATATGGAAAACACACTTTATTTTCTGTCCTCTTGCTAAAAGAACATAGCCAGGAGTGAGCCCTGAGTCTGCCACTTTCCATCTGAGTACCTGAGTCTGATTTTGCGCTTATGAAATGGGAATCAAGAAGATCCTCCCTACCAACTGTCAGAAAAATCAAGTGAGATCAACCAGGTGAGAGTTCTGTATGTAGATCGTAGTCTATGAAACACATAAGGTATTGTTGCAGAGAATCTGCAAAGCACAAAAGGGCCAATGAATGCAGGCAACCTTCCTCCCACAGAAGTTCCTACTGAAAACTCAGGGTGGAGGGCACCCATCAGAGCTTAAGGGTGATCCTCTGTTTCATGAAGAAACGTCTCAGGAAGCCCACACCTTATTGACCAAGTGCCATCATCTAAGAAGATTTAGCAGCAAACAGCCTAAGAGCTCCCACTGTCCATATTTCCATTTGACTTCAGTTGATATCACCCTGACTTCGGTGGAAGCATTTGCTATTGTTACAATTGCCTGAACCTCTGGCATGTTCCATGATTGAGTTTTCTCCACTTCTATCAATCATGACACATAGCTTTTGGGAAAAGAAGGTTCAAAAGAGGATCTATTGGGGGGAGGAAGAGCATTAGCAATTTTTAGTTCCCTAAAAAGGCCAAGGCCAAGTCAGTTTCTTTCAATTCCACTAGTTTGATGTCTTCCAGGGAACATGTCATGATTCCAAGGAAAAGAATCGAGGACGCTGTACCAGGACATAGTTTTCACATCAGACTCCTTGCTGTTGGCCTATTGCTCTGTCCAAGATGGAAGTGGCCCAGAAATTCATGAAAGGGAATAAGCAGGCTGTTCTAAGTACCCCTCTAAAGCTATTCAGAAATCAAAGCTAATGCTTCTAAGCTATTGTCAAAGCTACACTAACTTTTTAAAAGGAGGTTTAGAGCTGGAAAAGAAGGAAAAATAAACAGAGGGGGAAAATATTGAATAAGTTGGGTCCTGGGAAGCAAAAAAATCAACCTTTACTTACATGTGCTGTAAGTTGCTGTTTTTCAGAAATGCTTTATGAGCTACAAATTTTAATCCGGAATCCACAATGGTCCTAAGAAAACACATAATTGCATGTATGTTAGAGCTAACAGACTGTCCCTCTGACGATAACAGAGCATAAGAAAAAGTTCTGAGATAAGGTATGCAAGCCCTGAGTACTCACAGGTTTTTCAGTCCCACATAAGCTTCAATATCATCTTCGTTGATGATTTCTAATCTTTTCTGATTTGCAATGTAACTGCAAAAAAAGCAGAGAGTGCAAACTAGTAACTCAGAATTCAGGCAGTCCATAAAAAATGGGTAACTTCCATCCAACCTCACCAGGCTGCTCAAGGCAATCCCTCCCCACCCACCTAGCCCCACCATTTATTTTAAATACAGCAAGGGGAGCAAAACCAAATGAGACTGAGGAGAAACCATGGTTGAGCAGGTTTCATTGTCAATGACAGGATCACCAGGTTTGTTTTTTTTTTCTTAAACTTTTATTACTCTTTCAACTAACAAGTTCAGTTTGCCCCTCCACTCAAGGTATCCCCTGTGTATAGAGGTGAAACTAACTTGGAAATGCATCCACTACCTCTCAAAAGCATTTCACCCTTATGGTGACAGCCACAGGGAAGCTGGCATCACCACACAGAGGACAAATCACATCTTTCCTTACATTCCAAGAGAAGCAGTCACTCCCTCCTTTTACCTCCTGAAACACTGAAGAAGATTTCCCCTCCCCCTTTCTCTCTCTCCCTCCCTCCCTTCCTTCCAACTCTCTCTTTTCCTGGCCCAGGATTCCCTCGTTCTGCTTTTGTCAGTAATAAAACCAATTTTTCCCTTCAGGAACCACATTTCACAAACCCCACATTGCCTTAGTGCGCTCTCTATAGATATCTCCTCTTCCCTATTCACCAAACCCTCAAATACAGGAGTAAACTGGTAACTCTGGCTGCATGGAGAGTTCTATCCCCTGGATCATGAGGACTGGCTTAGAAATGTGCCTGTGACCTCAACTAGATTAATGAGAAGCTTTCCTTAAATTAAAACATGAATGCCATGACAGAGTCTCTCTCTTTCTCTGGGATTATGGCTGAAAGATTACATAGGCCTGGGGCTTCTATGAGAAATATTTCCGGCACAAGGAAAGAGACTGTCCAAGTATGAAGTCAGCACACAGGAGGAAAGAGAGCTAAGAGATATAAAGAGAGACAGAACCCTGAAAATGTTACTTGAGCTTTTGGATCCAATCATCTCTGAGGTTATAGCTGTCACTAACAGAAGTTTGATCTGAATTTCTGTCACTTGCAACCAATAAAATCCCTGGTAACACAAACAAAAAGCTATCAAACCTACTACCATGGAATTTCCCTGTGCTACAGTTACCTGAGTATCTGTCTATTCACTTTTCTTGATCACGATCTCTTTTTGAGAAGACAGCTGGATCCTGCTTTATAATTCTTAACATGCACCATAGCATCTCGCAAAGAACCTTGCACAACGTAGGTCTTCAAGGATGACGGATGGATGGATGGATGGATGGATGGATGGATGGATGGATGGGCAACACTCGGAGTTCCAAAGGCACTCCAGGAAGTTGTATTAGGATGGATTTTCCCCTTTCTTTTTCAAAAAATTTAAGATACATAACATTCCAATTAAGACACTGAAAACAAATATGTAGCTCTACTGTTAACAACATGAATTAAAATGAATAAAATAGTAACCAATGAGGGAGGAGATACAACATCTACAGATTCCTTCTACCCAATCCAAAAGAAGGAAAAAAAATAGATGTCAAAATACACGGTAAGTATTGGGGCACCCATTTTTAGAAAATATATTTTAGAAATAAAGCAAAATAAGGAAATGCTCTGAGGGAACAAAATTACACCAAAGATAAATAATTTTAAAAGGACCCACATAAACATTGCCCCTGTTACATAAAAAAAAAAAAAACAACATCCAAGATAGAAGGGTGTCTTCTGCTCAAAGATCTTGGTTCTCCCTGATATCCGGGGCCTGGAACTTAACAGATGTGCAGGAAGGATTCGTTCCCTTCCTTCCTTCTACCCCACACAGAAGGAAACATTTTAAGTCTCCAACCTAATGAGCAAACAACAATTTTCAACGTTAAGAGTTTTTACGAAATGTTTCAAAATTATCACACATTTTTCCAAGATTTTCAATCCACTAACATTTTCAGTAGAAACCACAGTGACCTCCCTCTTCTAAATTGTCTCCCAATAAGAACTGCATTCAAGAGGGCCCTACATTTTAATGCTTTTTTTCATGCAACTGGCAGAAAAAGGGAAAAATAACGTGGGCAAGGTTTCCTCTGGGGTCACAACCAGAATTCCCGAGAAGCTTGTTCACTGCTTACAGCTGCGCTAGCATGGTGGCTGTCACTGTTCTGAAATTGTCTGAGAGATTCTCCAGCTCTCTTTGCTGGCTCATCACTGAATCCTCCATGCTTATGACAGGGGCCTGACACTCAGGAGGTATTTAGTCAATGTCTGTGGCACAAGGCATTTATTTTTAACTTTTTATTTAGTTATTTATGCCCTTTATTTTATTGTTATTTCATTTCTGTCAGATTTTTAATTTATAAACTCTCCAATTGTATTCAATAAAATACAGCGAGCTAACATAAATAAAAATGAAAGGCATAATAGAAAGAAGAGCCAGGGCAGAGACATCAGTGGAGCTAGGAATTGGGTTTAAAATGCTGGGAAAGGGCCACAAGCATAATTCTAAGCTTTCCAGTGACCACTGCCCCTGAAAAGAAGGAAAGGGGGATACATTTAGCCAGTGGTAACTTCACAGTGTTCATGAGGTGAAAATAAGTCAGATATTAAGCAAAGTGTACCTATTCTTGAATCTAAGACCAGACAGGAGATTTTGTTAAAAACCATCAAAAGAACCATGTGAAAGTATTAAAAGTGGTCATTAAAGAATGTTCTTCCACTGTGAAGGGAGGGATGCCCTGGATAAAGAATGAATTTTTCTCCTGGTCAAAATGGAAAAAAGCAACAGAAGAGCTGGATGAAAAGGTCAGCAATTGCCCCTCTAGATGCCAAGAATTCCCTTTCATAAGTTACCATCTGCAGAAACGCCCACAACATAACCGTGGGCTATAAATTGCTCATGAAATCTACCCCTTAGGAAACGCTCCATAGACTCCATTAAGTGAGGAATCATAGGGTTAGAATGGAAGCCAGTAAAGTTAATAACAAACAATTCACAAAGGAGAAACCTCAACGGCCCAGGAACATATGAAAATCTGCTCACCCCTCAAGGAATATGAAATGCAAACCAAAGCCACATGGACTGACCATTCCTCTGCCACTAGCTGGACACAATGTTTAAAATCTGACAATATTAAAGCATTGCTAAGGATATGGGGTATTTCTCTTATATTGTTGGAGGGAGTCTAAATTGGCACAAGCACTTTGAAGAGTAATTTGCCAGCATCTTGGAAAATTATACATCACACGCTTTACAGAGTCCAGCAATTCCATTTCTAGGTTTTCACCTGAGAGAAATGCTCACTCCTGCACACAAGGAGACATATACAAGAACATTCATGGTAACACAGTCAGAATAAAAATCTGGAAACAACCCAAGCGTCCATCAGTTAAGAAAGAGAATAAAATGAGGTGTGTTAAATAACTACGGTAGATTGAACCAGATCTTTACATCTGAGCAGAAAGAAATACTCATGTTAAGTGAGAAAGAAAAATAAGCAAAATTTCAAACTGATATGTACATAACATATAAAACAATTGATGTGAACTTTTAAAAAGACACAAAACAATACCGCATAGTGTTCATAGTCAAGGATAGTTGTAAAGTACTAAAGGAAGATTGCAAGGAAAGTCACCTTGGGAAAGGAGACGGATCTGCATCAGGGATAAAGAAACTGAAACTATTAAACTGTTTTATTAAACTACTAAACTATGTCTTTTCTTAAAAGAGAAAAGCCTTTGTAACAAAAAGGACAAAAATGTTAAAGTGTCAGTTCTGAATATATGCACCTGAAGTTATTGTTATATCATTACATTTTTATGAATTTTTTAAATGTATGAAGAAAAAAGAAAGAAGGAAGGAAGGAAGGGAAGGAAGGAGGGAGGGCAGGGAAGAAGGGGGGAAGAAAGAGGGAGAGCCAAAAAAAGCCGCAAGGGAAAAGACCGCAGGGAAGCTGGACCCCAGGGCTTCTCAGTTACTAGGTGACCAAATACACCAGGGCTCAAGTCCTTGGTTCCTTGGACCACCCAAAAGCGAACAGTCTAAAAGCCTTCTGATCCCTGCCCCAGAGCCCCTGGACAGGACCAAGAAGACTAAGGAGCATGCTGGGCCGCCCCCTACTGGTGACTTCCACGTGCCTCCAGAAGGACCTTGGGAACACCAGGTCTTTCGAGCTCTGCCATCTCATCACTGCCAGTGATCAGAAATGCAGCAGCTGCAGAGACCAACCCAGGGTTAGGAAGGAGAGAGGAAAGGCCAGGCCAGGGCAGACAGCTGAAAGATGTGTGGACAGGCAATGCGGTAGGCTCTCCCCCAGAAAACTGTTCCCTGTCACACCGGTCAAAGTGCTGGCCAACTCTGAGGGCTCTTTACTAAGTCAAGCTTTGCTTAATAGAATCCCCAAGAAGGGTCCCACTCCCACTGAAGCAGTGGAAAGGACAAGCATTTTGGTACAGACCTTTCTCTCCATGACAGCCCCTAACTCCTCTGACCCAAGCCCACCGATCTGGAAAGCTTAGGCCCCAGGGGCTTTAAGGCACAAGCCCTCCCCCTAGAGCCCATGCCCCAGTGCTCACATGAGTTCAGCCAAGCTTTCGAGCTTCTGCCCTTCCAACCTTAAGAGTTTCTCTCCCTTACTTCCTTGGCCTCCAGGTCCCTCAGGCCCACCCCTCCATCCGCAATCTGTGTGCAATCATTCTCGGCCTTCGACCATCCTGTTTTGCCCAAATATGCCTTCTTCCTTTCTAAAAGCCATCTATAGTACTCTTTCTTGGGCCTCACATTATGAGGGTTGCTTTTTATTGTTGTTGTTTACTTTTACTACATCCCAAGACTACTGTCATCTGCCCTAAAATTTGGAACTTCTCGACGAATTCACCTAAAACTCTTCTGGGCCCCTACAATATCTGAGATGCTGCTTGATTTACAGGCAACATCCAAAAGGCTTTTTCCAATCAAAACATTTTTATTCCATCAGTTGGCAAGCATTTCTTTAGCATTTATTCT